AGCAATATTTTGCTCAGGAATGTGGGTATGAGTTCTGGTTGTCTTAAGCTTCTGATCTTCAGAATTAATTATTAGGAGTTCTAGGAATCGTATGAACTAATAGTTAAGGATAGGCTTTCTTCGTCGAGGAATCGAGTTTTAAGTATTTTAGATAGTGACATTAACATTAATGAAGAAGTAGAATTCGTATATGCATAAGAGTAAAGTAGGTGAAATCTAACCCCAACAACATATTCATTCCATAATATCAAATCCGTTCATCTTTGCACTTTTCTCCAATTGATCAAATTGCATGCATATTTACTTTTCAATATTTGCATTCTAAACCTAAAAGAATTTGTTTTCAAGTCTTATTTAATCAAGAAATCACATAATTGTTTAGGCCGTGAGTCTCTAGGGAAATGATACTTGGTCTTACCATGTTTATTACTTGATACGATTCGGTACACTTGCTGAAGTCTTAACACCAGGCGTGAATGTGAAGCTCTAGCGCTGAGGGTCATGAAAGGGGCGCCCAAGTGTGAGTGCGACCTTTTGTAACCTTCTTTTTTGGTGCTCTTGTTGTCCTTTATGAGTTCCAGCTTCTTGACAACTTAACTCCTCTCCCAATTCATCCCAATTTCCTACAAAACCAAGGGGATTTAGTGATAAAATCTTTAAGTGTAACCTCAACTCACTTATTTCCCAAAATAAACTAAAATCAAGAGAACAAACAAGTTTCTAAGTCCAAAAGGGTTCATTTGATTTCAAAATTTACTCTCAAATAATGGTGAAATCAACCGTTATCACGGCAAGACCACACTTGGTCCCTCCCCGCCATCGGCATTCCTCACGGCCGTTGGAGCTGCGAATGCCGAGTGTTGAGCGGACTGCTCCTAACGGGCGTAGTGCGGCAATTTCTGCCTCGTGCTTCCTCTACATCTCCAACAACTGTGCTTGAATATCCTTGATCAATTCCCTTGTGTCCTGCTGCTCTCCCATGTTTCTTGTGGTCACCATTAGGTTTCTTCTACTGTTCTCGGGTCCTACGGTAGGTGCCAAAATGTTTTTGTATATAATTGAGTAGGGCCGAGAAACACACATTTTCGTTGTCACCTTCTCTTCTTCCTTCCTTCCGAATCACTTGGTTTGTCGTCTTCCAGTACAAGCCGAGTGGTGGGTACCTGCTAAAGGCACTTTGACGCTCAAATCAGATTTTAATCAATGAAATTAATCCACAATTAAGTATCAAAAATTCAATCAAGCTAACCTTACCTCTGTAGTTTACCTCTCTACTTATAGAGTTTATAATGGACTTTAAGTTAATATTAGCCCAATAATACTAATGTTTGTGTTGGCCCTGTTGTAGCCCAACACTACATAGGCCCATAAGTCCTTTTTACCTTTTTAATTTATAATATGAAGCCAATATATTGAACGGTGTTGGCTATCCTACCAACACCGTTCAATTGACAAAATGTGTTTACCGTCGACACTGCTTCATCGCCTGGCATACCGTTTGGATCCTATCTCATACCATACATTCTCATTCCTTCCCAATTGCATCAGTCCAAAAAACTTTAAAAATTCATTCTAAAAAATGTGGTTTGTTGCAAGAAGCTTTGGACAAGTTGTACGAGATGGTTCGAGAGTTGAACTAAAGGTTTGTGGTGGTCGTTGATGGAGGTGACATGATGGTGCCTATTCGTGGTGGAGGTGACTTCACTGTTGAAGGTGGTTGAGTAGTTCAATTTGCATGGATTTTGGTGGTTCGTGATTAGGGGAGTTCTTGCTAGTGTGTTTGTGGTAGAGGTATTGATGTTGCCATGTGTTTTGTTTGATAAAACCTTTTAATATTGCTTTGATTTGAATTTCATTCCCTACTTTAGGTGATACTTCGTGGAAGGAGGTTTTGTGTCTTTGTTTGCCAATGGAAAGTGAGTTCTTCATTGCTTGTATACACTTTGTTATAAAGAGGTAAGTTATGCAAGTTTTATGCATGGGAATATAAGTTATGCAAATTTTGTATTATGGTATTTTCATTTTTCAATAAAATAGTATTTTCATTTATTTAAGAAAATAGTATGTATATTGAGTTGTATGAGTAACAATTTTTTAAAATATTGTAAATATGTATTGTGTGTATCTTCTTAGTAAATTTTTTTAATGAGTTACATTTATCTTGTTTTAATATGGTATAGAGTATAGAGGATTATGATTGTGACCTCATATTTTGATTTCATTTTATTAATTGTGTAATAATAAATTTTTAACTATTTTAAGTTTTAATATTGAAAATCAAAATATTAATTTTTTCTCGTATATATTGTATTCTTTATTTATTTCAATCAATACTTTTTTTCATAAAGGTTTTATTCATTAAAAAAATTATAAAATAATCCTAACTTATCCGAATATCATTTTATATTTCTTTTAATATCAAGAACAATGTAATAGTTTTACTTTTTAATTTATTAAAACGTTTTTTAATCTATCATAGTTAAATCATTCATCAACTTTGACAATTTCTATTCCGAAATTCACTCCAATTGGTTTACAAATCTCGTAAAAAAACATAAAATTTAATTTCAAATTCATCCAAATTCATTTTCTCCCTCTTTTTCAAATCCTTACTTCCAAAATAATACAAGCTAAAAGATAAAAGTTAAGGTAATTCAAGTAAAAGAAAATATGGATTACATGAATCAACAACAACAAAGAAAATATGAATTACATTCGTTAATGTTCTTTTCAGGAACGAGATGTTGGATCTAGATGAGTGTATAAATAAGTATAAAAGAATGTCATTCCTAAAAAAAGTTATATATATATAGATATATATATATATATATATTTATAGGATTTCTAAACATTCGAAAATTCAATTATAAAATAAAAGATAATAAAAATCTATTATATATTTCGTAATTAGTATTAATATAAAAATATATAAAGATAATATTAACCAAACCAGTCAAATTTAATATATCATTTTATGTTAATATATGATATTAAAATATATAATATATAATTAAATTATCGAAATTTCATGATATATTTTGCTAATATATAATGTCAACAAATATATCTTTAATATTATTTAAGTTAATAATTTGTCTATGAATTATGTTTTTTAACATATTTATTCAACTGAATATGTATAATTAAAAAAAAATATATCGAAAGGCAAGATAAAATTCTTGCATGGAACCTCTTTCAGTAACCCTGCCAGGGAACACCAACAGGAAAAAAATCGTTAAAACCATGAATCACAAGCCCATTAACTCTAAAACATACTGATTAAAAAATAAAATATATAAAAACAGTGCAACAACCCCGAACAATATGTAATAGCAGTTTATTATATTGAGTTGAGGAAGCATCTAAGGAAAAATATAACATTGAAAATTTGTAACAAAAAAAATATATAGACTTTTCAGATTTATGGATTTATTCACATTGAATTTAGGTCCGATTTCAGATTATTTATTTAACTAGTTGTTGATATTTCAGATTAAACTACTTAATTAAAAAAATATATTTAGTGAGACATTGAAAAGTTTAAATTTAACTGAAAACTTGTTTATGTAACAGTATTAATATTAATATATAATATTAATATTACTATTTTAAGATGATATCCTTATTAATATATTTAAAAAGTTATATCAAAAATACTTTTTTTACTTTTGTTTACATTAGAAATAAATAAATAAATAAAAACAGAAATTGTAGAAAAGTATACTATTTAAAAAGAAAAAAATTGTATTGATTTGAATGAAAGAGTAGGTTATAAAAACTACATATATAATATTCATTCTAATTAAAAAAGAATTGAACCAAAAAATTAATTTTTATTATATTAAAATTTTAACATAAACTTTTGAAGTTAAAAAACAAAAGTCGGATTATGAATAGAGAACAAGTTATTTGAAACTTGAAAGAATAATTTTGGAAAGTTGAATTAAATAATAAAATGATTGATTTCAGCATTTCACACCTGTAATTTATTGATGTAAGCGGGAATCAAATGAAATCATGGTTACAATTATTTGTGTGAAGTTGTCGTTTATTTTCCAAAACAATTAGATTGAAATTACTCCTTAAAAAAATATTAAGATTTAGGGAATATACAAAGAGATTAACTTCACCAAATATGATTTCCATTTTACTGACTGATTTAGATTTATTAGACTTTTTTTATTTGTTTAAATGCCTTTTTAAATGGGTTGTACCTATAATACTTATCATAAAGCTCAAATTCATTTATTTAAAGTCTTACATACCACTTCCTTTAAAACACTTATTAAGGAATCGATCAATAAATAAAATTATTATTCAAGTTGCATTAGAAATCATAGAAGAAAGGATATTACATTTTTACTTGTGATTCCTTAATCAAATGTGTTGGAACAATTATTACCATTTTCCTTATTTTAGATTGGGACACACGTGAAAAATAAAAAAAAATGTAAAACTCCATGGTTTAAAAAGAAAAGACTCTAATATCAATAGTGCATATATATGTATGCATCACCAAAGCCTCTCTCTAACCCAAGACATAGTGACAATCTCCTTTAGGCTATGTTTGGACAAAAGTTGAAAATGTGATTCTGGAAATTGTAATGCACATTCTCATATTCCAAAGCAAAATGGAGTAAAAATTTATTACTTAGGGAGTAAAATTACTTTTGAGCTTCCCCAACTGGAATCTAAGCATCCATTTAATTCATCAACCAGATGGACATCACAGTGAAAACAAGAGTTATTTTTTTCTGGAACTATCCAGCACTGTATCATGGAACTCAAGGAACAAAACTCTCACAGAATAGGCCAATGCTGTTTCAAAGAAAAAACTAGATGCGCAACAAAGACAAAAGTGAACAACAAGCACACAGTACAATTGACTGCCTCATAAAATGGCTTGAAACATTTAATTGAAGTTTTGGACAATATTTGATTTGCTAAGAAAGTAATTAACATCCGACTTGAAGGAATGGTCTCTAATATAAAACAATTAATTATAGCTATAACAAGCTATCTTCACCAAATTCAATGAGGCTTGCACGTTTGAAAATGTTTAACATCATTGAGATTAGAACTAAAAGCTGAATATTCACCATGACAAATATGTTACCTACTTATGACAGATAAACCTGGTGGCACAATAGCCACTAATGATGACATTTATAAACCAGATTCAATACTCAGAACGGCTTTGTTGATTGAATAGTTCCATCATCTTCAAGTCCAGTTCCTAAAATCCTTATATCATCCAACTTGTTTCCAGATTCTAGCTCTGCTGCTTTGGATGCCTGGTTCTCCGTATTGTTATGTTGAAAAACCTTGTTAAATTAGAGCGCATTAATACATATGTCGCAATTTAGGTACATAGCAACTAAAGGGTAACAAAGTCTCGGTTTCTTCCATCACCCCTAGTTCACACTCAAAAGCCTAAGAAATACAAATAGGTTAAATCCTTTGTTTTACCTGCAAAAGCTCAGTCATTCTGCCAGTTTCGGTGTAGTCCGAAGGCTTGGGAGCAGATGTTGAGATTTCCGGAGGACAAGACTGTACAGCTTGCAGTGGCTTAATCAAGATGGGTTGATCTACATCATTAACTTTGTCTTCCTGAGTACCACTTGGATCCTTCTCTACCATATTATCACCTGACTTGCAGTTGTCAGTAGTCTCATTATCCATGGCCTCTGATGGATCTTGGATCCTCTTGACAACTTCCGTAACCAGATGCTCAAAAGGCATGCTAGGCATTCTCATAGATTTGGCTTCATCTTCATTCACCACATGAGATGAAGATTGATTATGTGCTGGAGCATCTTCACTTTGCATGCCGGTTGAGTGTGAGATAGTTTGAGTGTGAGATACAAGTGAAGGGTTTCCATCTACAGGGATTTCTTTGGAAGAAATCACTCCACTCCCTAGAGAAACTTGGGTGTTGACTTGTGATGGTTGATTAGAAACTGGCCCCCCGTTTGCAAAATTATTAGGTTGGAGCATTACAGGCACCACATTACCTCTGGGTAGTTGATGAGTGATCTGGCCTGGCACAGAAGGCACATTCTTTCCAGAAGAGGCAACCAAGTTACTAGAACTAACAGCTCCTCTAGGTATCTGAGGGACAGACGGTGAGCCATTCATTGCAATAGTTTCAACTCTATGAACACTCACTGGCTGTTCATTCCTCTCCTTTGGGAGAGGAGTTTGAAACTGTGCTGCTCTTGAAGGGAAAGAAACCTCATTTCTATGGATCATTGGAACACTCGGAGCAACATCATTTTCAGGCGAGACAGGAACATATCGTCCAGGCTTGAAGACCAACCCCCTCAAAGTAGTATCAGAATCACCAACTCTAACACTGAGCAAATATCCAGCATCAAATACAGCCTCAATTACACCAGAAACTAGTTGGCCCACCATTGCATTATTTAAATGACTCTCTTGACCCCTTTGAAATTGTTGACTTCCATTAACTGTTTCAAAGCCAGGAGGCACGGGCGTTTGTTCTGCACGAACAGGATTCTGCCTTTTATTTTGACTAACTAGGATATAGGAACTCTCCTCTGAATCTGGCTTCGGGTATTTCCTTGGACGACCACGCTTGCGCTTCAAAGGCACATCTCCTGAACCATCTGGAGTGTTATTTTGGTTTTGTTGATCCATCTTTGGTAATTTCTGTTACTCTGGTGTCCATGCAAAGATTAAAAAAAAATTGTATAAGCTACCAAAACAAAAGCAGAAACAGTCAGCATGATACGAATGTAATTTTCTCAATAACTAAAATAATTTTGTCTGCTTCTTGACAGTGATTAACCTGCCTCCTCAAAACACTTGCATCATAAAACTAGTATGATATGAAGCACAAACATAAACATGAATACCGGTCACGACATCAAATAGAGGTTTCCTGATAGGTTCCTAAATTGGGAACCTAATCAAGAACTCTCTTTCTCACCAAAAGACACAAGATAGGGAAAACTGAATATTATTCACAGTAGTGTATCTCTACAGAAAGAATCCAGAGGCTTAACCCTCTTCACAGGTCAAAACCTGTCAACAGACAATTCAACAAAACATGCCTTTTACCAACTAACAGGCCTCTATTTATACTCCCTCTCCCGCCCACTTCTAACTGTCATAGGCAGTTAGGCTATTACAACTAATTACCCTTCTTCCTTCTCTCATAGACTAACCATTTCTTTTATTCCAATCAATACCCTCCCCTTGAAGACCAACCTTGTCCCCAAGGTTGAAATCGGGGTACTGCTCCCTGATAGTCATTTCATCTTCCCAGGTGGCCCTTCCGGCCCTCCTTCTTGCCATTCTACCAGCAGTTGTGGCACACTTTCCCCTTCTCCCTACAGCTGTCTTCTTCCTAAAATGTGCACTGGCCAGAATGAAGGCCCTTCTGTCTACAGGTCCTGCGGCAATTCCTTTTCCACTCTTTGTTCTCCTATAGCCTTTTTCAATTGTGACACATGGAAGACAGGATGAATTTGTGTTGTCTCTGGCAACTGCAACTCACAAGCTGCCTCCCCCACCCTCTGAATAACCTGGAACAGCCCAAAATATCTGGCTGCCAACTTTGGGTGAAGCCTAGTAGTTGGCATCAAGGATTGTCTATGGGGTCGTATCTTCAAATATACCCAATCCCCCACTTCTACATCAGCAGCCTCCCTCCTTTTATTAGCTTGTCGCACCATTAGTTCCTGTGCCCTCTCTAGATGAAACTTCAACTGTTTCAGGGCTTCGTCCCTAGTTTGAAGCTCCTGACTCACTGCCTCCACCAATGATTCGCCAGGATTGAATCTATGCAAAGAGGGGGGTGTCCTCCCATACACAACCTCAAAAGGGGTGCACCTTATAGCTCCTTGATAGCTTGTGTTGTACCAATATTCCGCTCACGACAAAACAGTCATCCATCCCCTTGGCTGCTCCGAACAGAAACACCTGAGATAACCTTCTAAAATCCGATTCAGAACCTCCGTTTGTCCGTCTGTCTCAAGGTGGTACGCGGTGCTCATTTTTAACTGCGTTCCCTGACTCTTGAACAACTCTTTCTAGAATATACTTAGGAACAATGGGTCCCTATCTGTCACGATGGACTGTGGAATCTCATGCAGCCTTACGATTTCTCTTATGAAGACTTCAGCCACCGTTCTTGCCGAGTAGGGATGCTTGAGCGGTAGGAAATGTGCATATTTGCTCAAGCGGTCCACCACCACCAGAATTGCATCATACCCCTTGGATCTAGGCAAACGAACTATGAAATCCATGCTTAACTCTTCCCACACTGCATTCGGAACAGGCAATGGCTGTAATAATCCCTGAGGTGAGGATGTTAGGTACTTGTGTTGCTGGCACACAAGACATTTAGCCACAAATTTCGTCACGTCTTTTTTCATTCCGACCCAATACAACGATTGGCCTATCCTCCTGTATGTCCTATATACTCCAGAATGGCCCCCCGTTTGCGTTACGTGAAACTCCGCTATTAACTTGGGAAGCCACGAAGACTTCGCTGACATTACCATCCTGCCTTTGTAGTGCAGCCTCTCGTGTTCCAGTGTGTAGGCAGGGTGGGAGTTTGGGTCTTTTTTAATTTCTTCTATCACTTTTTGCAGCCCCTCATCCTCCTCAACTTCCTTCGTTATTTCTTCAAAGTCTTGCTAGTAGGGCCTGGCCACCACACACAATTCCCTTTCCTCCCCGTTTTCACCCTCGTCCCTCCTGGACAACGCATCAGCATCTCTGTTAGCAGTCCCCGTCTTATACACGATCTCAAAATCGTACCCCAACAGCTTGGCTATCCAATTTTGCTGATTCTGAGTCGTTATTCGCTCTTCTAGCAGGTATCTTAAGCTCTTCTGATCATTGTGGACTACAAACTTCTACCCCATCAGATAGGGCCTCCAATGCTGTATGGCTAATACGAGAGCCATCAATTCTTTCTCGTAAATAGACTTGTTCAGTGTTCCTTTGGATAACGCCTTACTAAAAAAACCTATGGGTTTCTTTCCTTGCATCAAAACTGCACCCACACCTTTGCCCGACGCATCACATTCAATGTGGAACGGTTGCTGAAAATCAGGTAAAGACAGCACTGGGGCCGTCGTAATGGCTCTCTTCAAAGTCTGCCATGCCTCGTTTGCCCTCTCATTCCAGGTGAATCCCCCTTGCTTTAGCATGTTCGTTAAAGGTCTGGCAATTTTGCCATAATCCTTTATGAACCTTTGATAGTACCCCAACAATCCCAAGAATCCCCTTAAGCTTTTTACCGATTTTGGTCTCTCCCACTCCACAACGGCCTTTATCTTCTCATCATCCATCTCCACGCCTCTGTGCGAAATAATATGTCCCAAGTATTTAATTTGGGTTTGTCCGAACTCACACTTCCTCCGGTTAGCCACCCACTGATCTCGTTCCAAGGTTGAAAGGACGCTTCCAACATGCTCGAGATGCTCCTTCCAAGTTCTACTGTAGACTAAGATGTCATCAAAGAAAACCAAAACGAACTTGCGTAGATAGGGTTGGAAAAGGTTGTTCATCGCGCTCAGAAATGTCGTCAGCGCGTTGGTGAGCCCGAAGGGCATTACCACGAACTCGTAGTGCCGCTGGTGCATTCGGAACACAGTCTTCTTTATATCCTTCTCACCCATGCGAATTTGGTGGTACCCCGCCTTCAAGTCCACCTTAGAGAAGTAGGAAGCCCCTCCCAACTCGTCCAGCAACTCCTCGATCACTGGTATGGGAAATTTGTCTGACACCGTAGCTCGATTCAGTGCGCTCTAGTCTATGCAGAAGTGCCAGCTGCCGTCCTTCTTCACCAGAATGACAGGACTCGAATAGGGGTTGTGGCTTGGACGGATCACCCCCGATCGGAGCATCTCAGCAACCTGCTGTTCTATTTCTCCTTTCATCACGTGTGGGTACCGGTAGGGTCTCACGTTAATGGGATCTACCCCGTCTTTAAGCGGTATATAATGCACCATCCCTCTACTAGGTGGCAGCCCCATAGGCTCCGAGAACACCACATCATGCTTGCCCAACAGCAACTCCATCTCTTGCTTTTGCTTGTCGGTGAGGCCCACAAACTTCTGAGTACTTTCCTTGGACTCCAATGAGCCCAATTCCCATACCATAAGCCAAGCTTCTACTTTATCCCTTTTTAATAAGGCCCTGGGTCCCACCATTTTCCGTTCCAACGTGGGGTCCCCCTTCACTGTTATCTCCTTCTCTCCTTGTCTGTATACTATAGTCAACTTCCGCCAATCCACCGTCACCTTTCCTAATTTCTCCAACCACTCCACCCCAAGGATTACCTCCACTCCTCCGAGTTCAAACAAGTAAAATCTTTCGACAATTTTTTCATCTCCCAACTCCGAAGCCACCTGCTCAAAGCAACCGCTGATCCTCTTCTCCTGTCCGTCCCCCGGACTTACAATATAAGGTTGGGTCTCCACTACCCTTCGATTGATAAAATTGTGGGTCGCACCACTGTCAATCATAACCAGCACCTCTCGGTGTCCAATTCGTCCCCGTAACTTCATCGTTTTGGGAGACGTGAGACCGCCGGCGGACAGCGCCGATAGCTCCATCGTCGCGATATTCATCTCGGTTCCCGCCTCGCCTTCCGTCTCTTCCTCCTCTTCCGCCACGATTAGCATCCTTAAACCCCTTTCAGGGTAGCGATGGCCAAGGCTGAAAGGTCCGTGATAACAGTTGAAAAACTGTTATTTTCATGCTTAAAATTGATACTAAAAGCAACCTTTAACACTCAGAAACTAGCTTGGAATCATGCTTTTGTTCATATTTTTGGAAATAAGAGAGTTGGACAGGTTTATGCTTGATTTCAGTGTTTTATGTAGGTTTTAAGGTGAATTTGATGAAAGAAGTGAAGATGGATAGAGATGGAATCAGAAAAGAACTTGAAAAGTGAAAAAGAAGAGAAGCCGCAAGTACCGCTCAGCGCCAGTTTACCGCTGAGCGGCACTAATGAACTCCCGTTGGCTCCGCTGAGGGGAAGAATCAACACACGCACTTACCGCTGAGCGGCATTATTTTGGGCTTAGGCCCATTTTTCTGTAATATTTCGAATAGTATATAAGCTTTAGGACTTCCTGGGGTTTGTATCTTTGGTTGGGAGGAAGCAGAAACACACTTTTCACCCCTTGGGGGTAGATTGGGAGATGGTGACGGCTCTCCTCTTCTCTTTCTAGGGTTTTTCTATCTCTTCCATTCTTTCATTATTGTTCATCTAGTTTCACCATGAATATGGTGAACTAAACTCTTCTTGTTGTTGGGGAATCAATGTAATCTTTTGAAGCTCTCATATATGGAATTTGTGGTTAAACATCATATTTATGATACATGCTTTCTTTCATCATTAGTTAGGGTTTTTCCTCTTTGCTCAAAGCATGCATTATTTAACTCATTCGATGTCATGATCATTGATTTTGTCGATATGGACACATACGGAGAAATCTAGATCCGGGGAAATTCTCCCAATAGCATATTGCCTAGACATAGGGATATGAGGGTTGGTTGCCTTTAAGCTTTTGTGCTTCAGAATTAATTATTAGGGATGCTAGGAATTGTATGAACTCGTAATTAAGGATAAACTTTCTTCTCAAGGTGTTTTAGAGAGTGGCATTAACATTGATGAAAAGAATGATGAATTCCTAAAATATATGAGAATGGAAAAGATGAAATTGATTACCCCAACAACATACTCATCCATCTAATTCATTCAGTGTTTGTGTTCTTCTTTACCATTGATCATCACATGCATACATGTTTAATTCTTGTCTTTTGCATTTGAAACTTATACCAATTTGTTCACAAGTCTTAAATAATCAAGAAATCATATAACTAACTAGGTCGTGAGTCCTTTGGGAGAACGATACTTGGTCTTACCGAGTTTATTACTTGATACGATTCAGTCACACTTGCCGAGGGTTAAACAAGTTTTTGGCGCCGTTTTTCAGTGTTCATAAATTTGTCATCAGTCCGCCACACCTGAAACATCTCCCCTCCTCTCTCTGTTTGACATACTCCGAGTATGGTAGATTGTGGATATTCCTTTCTCTCCCGTCGCTGTTAGCTCTCACGTTAATTCCCCCCTGGGTCGCGTCTTTCTTTACAGACCCGATACTCTCCGCCGGCCCTCCTCGCACCGTTGTATCGCGATTTGGTTCTGACCGCACCACCGCTCCTGTCATTTTTCACCAGGAACTTTGATTCTTGGACACCCATCCTCCTCCCGCGCAACTCGCATGGCGGTCAATAGATCAGGTGGGTCATGCGGCCTGACATGATCGCTCACCTCTTCCCGCCTGTTTTATGGTCGACAACCTCTCTTAAACTGTCCCTCTTGTTCCTCCCCCGAATCGTATTCCCAAAGCCCTCTTCAATTCATCCCAAGAATGGTTCTTGGTTTTCTCCCGCCAAAAACGGAACCAACTTCCGGCGTAACCCTCCATACTAATAAAAGCCAATTGTAGCTTCTCTTCAGCCACCCGCTGGACCTCGAAAAAGTTCTCCCCTCTGCCTATCCAAATCCATGGTTCGCCTCCTTCAAACACGGGAAACTCGACCCGTTTCCTCCAATTGACCATTCCTTCTTGGTTACTTTCTCCTCTTCTTCCCCTTTCGCCATCTGGTTCGGCCCCATTATCATTCACCGATGATTGGCTCTCATCCTGATGTTGGCCCCTGTGATTGTGGTTACGTTCCCTAAGCACCTTCAAGATTGCTTGGATGTCCTGTCGTATCGCCGTCATATCTGCCTTCGTCTTGGCTATTGCAATCTCGACAGCTTCCAAGTGCCCTTCGACTGCCACCACTCTTCCCTTAATGTCGGGATCCGGCAGGTCGGACCAATTGATAGGTTCCTAAATTGGGAACCTAATCAAGAACTCTCTTTCTCACCGAAAGACACAAGAAAGATAGGGAAAACTGAATATTATTCACAGTAGTGTATCTGTACAGAAAGAATCCAGAGGCTTAACCCTCTTCACAGGTCAGAACCTGTCAACAGACAATTCAACAAAACATGCCTTTTACCAACTAACAGGCCTTTATTTATACTCCCTCTCCCGCCCACTTCTAACTGTCATAGGCAGTTAGGCTATTACAACTAATTACCCTTCTTCCTTCTCTCAGACTAACCATTTCTTCTAATTCCTATCATTTCCATTCAAATAGTGTTCAAATTTTTATTGTGTCAAGCCGCATTGTTCAAATTATATTTTTTAATTTTCTCTCATTTCCTCCATGGGCGCACCATGGCCACCAATAGATCACGTATGATGGCCATCATTTGAAATCCACCACACCATCATGGTGGTCAGTTAAATTTTCGTTATTTACCATGGCACTTCCATCTGATAATACTAGATATAACTTACAATTTTATTTGAAGAATTATGATCAAGTTATTTTATCTATTTCTATTTTAAAATTAATACGCTGCCAATTTAAGTTATTTTTTTTCCTTCTCTCTAAATAATATGATTCAATACACATTATGATTCACGATTTAAAAATTAGCTAGGCGATTCATGATTTGAATCTCAATTTGATAACCTTGGTTGGTCCAACTATCATAATCAATTTTCAACAATCTTTTCCTCTGTAGATATAACACCAATATCTATCCAATAATAATTGTTTCTTTTCTTGTCCGATCCTGTGGAGCAACTCATTCATCTTAGCGTACTATTTTTTTTAATCCCACTCCTTTCTCGTATTATCCCTCTCAAATACTATACTGCCAACAATGACGATTATAACATCAAATTCACTTTGAACTTTGGTTACATGGAATTAAGTGGACATTTTATTTGTATTAATTTAAGTGATCACATTCCTAGTCAATAATTTATATGCACCCTAATCACCTGATATTAGCAGCAGGCTATACCTAAATTTAGGAAAATGCCCTCATATAAACTTTAAAAAGAAATCCATGATGTACAAAAGAAAATGAAGCCCTTGAAAAAGAAAAATATGATAGTGCATCAAACTAGCTCCTCCTTTTAAAGATACTTTTGCAGTTTCTAGACAGTGAGTAGGAAAAGAAACAAAGGAGAAGTAGGGAGGGGGGAAACAACAGACACTAGGCTCACAGGGAGCCACCTCATGCTAGCCACTGGTTCACACACAGGAGGCATAGGGTTGTACAATGCAAAAAGGGTTTGTCTGTTCATTTCATATATGTGGAAAAACTGAATACCTCAAAATTCCTTCCTAAAATACAACTCAGCAATGTTAAAATTTTTAATTTCTTCAATCCCAAATAGACAAATACTCGTTACTCTCAATTACCTCACCCAAATAGACCATAGAATTATGCCCACAGTTTCTAAAGAGTGATAGTAGAAATTCTTCTACAATGCATCAAACTGAAACCTTCAAAGGTAGTAGATTATGCAGTTACTTCGCAAATAAAACATTGCATTGAGAAAAAGCTCTTACTTTTGCGTAATAGCATACTATTCATTAAGATACATGAAAGTGGAAGTTGCTTATGCATGTCAAGGGATCACGGAGATCTGAAAGTAAATCAAGTTATTTTCAAAGCAGGAATGGAGGAGAATTAAAAATAATCTATACACCAATATAGAAGTAGAATAGGTAAAAGAATTGTTTTAGATCCACTTTAGAAGGTTAAAAATAATAGGAAAATTCCCGATGAAACTTTACTTAAATAGAATGAATTTGAAAGCAAACATCATAGCTAAACGAAGTTAGTCGTGATGCCACCATGTACAGAGAAATTTTTCAGATATTTATTATCTCATTGTCTCTCTCATGAGATGTTAATGACAGCAGAACTTAAAGGAAATTTAGCAGGAACTTAATGATTCAAACTGATTTTTAAATCATAATATTGTAGCAGAAATTTCTAATACATAATGGTCGAGCCACAGAAAAGGATGGTAATATTCTTGAATCCTTGTTCTCAGTAAACCCAGTGACAGAATGTGCAAAACCATATTCTAGCTACAAATTTTAGATACCTATACAGATCCAGTGAAATTTTTGAGCTCACTGTGTTTAAGTGCAATGTACTAAAATTGTCAAACTAGTATTTATTTTTATTTACTTTTCTATCTAACCAAATAATTAGAAAGAAATTGTTTCCTCTCATTCCTTCGTAATTCCATCAATCCAAACAACTTTAAAATTACTCTCTAATTAATCTCAAATTCTATCCTCTTTATTTCATTCCATTCTATTTTTTTCCTCTCCATTTCAATGAGCATCCAAACAAAGTGAAAAGAAGTTTCATAGACGTACACTATAATATACTTAACCGAAGGCAGATAGAATTCATATTTCAATTGTGAGTATGTTTCTGAACAAGGATTTAGCAGAGACAGCTAAATATGACTAAAAGACTAGAGATCAGAGATTCCTAGGGTTGTTAAAATTCTAAATTCAATTGTTACTCAAATAGAGAAGCACCTCTCCGTTTCCCCACAAAACACAGCAAAAAGACAAGCTTCAACCAATGAAATAGTACACACTAAACAGGCAATTTTTACAAGAGAAGGCCTGGCAATAAAAGTGATTGGGGATACAACATAGCCCAAATGAAAATCAACACGATATGATGGCACGAAACATTAAAAGAGAAAAGTTAAGGTATTCAATTATAAGTAATTCAAGCAAAAGAAAATATGGATTACAGGAATCAACAACACCAAAGCCGCAAAAAGCACACAAACGCTCATTCATTAGAAAAAATAAATCAAATTGCAAGGGAAAAAGTTTCCAGCATCGAACCTCTTTTCAGTAACCTTGGCAGCAAAACCGAACACCTGCAGAAAGGACATCCTTATAACCATGAAACATAGGCCCATTAACTCTAAAACATACTGATTAAAAAATAAAATATTAAAAAACAATGCAACAACCCGAAGAATAGGATTTTCTAAAAAAATAACATATTTCTCCTTTTCCACTTCATCTTTTCCTTCCGGAAACTAATCAAAACTTCAGCTCAGGAAACAAAATAAAACAAAAAACAAAAACATGAATTTGATCGAAAAACGAAAAATAAAAAAGAATCCCATTACCCTTACACGGTTACACCACAATCCAAGGGTTTAACCTCTCCCCGAGGAAACAAAATCAATGTTTTCCCATTTCATATTTTTCTTCAATTTCCAAAATCAGCAGTAAAATAACACACCCCTGAAAAATCCCTCGCATGGGTTCGATCCAAAACAACACAAAAAAAAAGGTGAAAAACCAACATGCAATAGCTAAATTGATGAAATTTTGAGACAGAAAGGGCAGGGGAGAGAGATTACCGTGTTGGGAACAACAAGGTTGCATTAAGATTCAGATTCAGAGAGTTTAGATTCAATTTTGCAGAAGGCGCACAAGAAGAAGAACGTGAAAGTGGAAGCTATTTAGACGGAGAGAGCGAGGTGGTGCAGTGTAAGAAAGTGCACAGTCACACACGAACGCACGCACACGGGGTGCTACCGTATCTGGCTGTTATTGAATGTCTCGTCACGGTACACTAACAGCATGAAACGTGTAAAATATGTATGTCCAGTATTTTTTTAATCCTATGCGTGCAGACTTTCCTTGTTCGGTGTCACCGCCGGGTGATGAATTTGATGCTATAAAACTGAAAAACATGGACAAAAACAAACAAAATACAATGCGTTAATATTTTCTTTTTTCTATTATTAAACAAAATTTGTTTGAATTTCTATTAAATAATAAATGAGATTCTTTGAATATTAATAAAATTTTGCCAAATAAAAAATAAGTCATTAATGATTTTTCAAAATTATCGATTCAAGAAGGAATAAAAATAATTTTTTCCTTTTTTGTAAATTCAAAATAAAAGTAAGCACAACAGTATATTAATTCGAGTTCAGGAGACATCTAAGGAAGAAGAAAATATTGAAAAATTGTAACAAAAAATATACATAAAGACTTATTCAAATTTATGGATTTGTTCACGTTGAATTTAAGTCCAATTTCAGATTATTTATTTAATTAGTTGTGATAAAAAAAAACTAAACTACTTGATGAAAAAAATATTTATTCGGTCATTGAAAAGTTTAAATTTAATTGAAAAACTTGTTCATGTAACAACATTTTAAGATATATTTAAAAAGTTATATTAAAAATACTTATTTTACTTTGTTTATATTAGAAATAAAAAAATAAAGATATAAATAAAGAAATAAAAAAACAGAAATTGCAGTAAATATATACTATTTAAACATATGACAAACAAAAACTTTTTTTATTGTCAAATGTTGTCAAATAAATAATGTTAAAATATTATCGAAAAAAAAATGTTGTTAAATATCATTATTCTTTAAATAAATAGTAGATTATAAAAACTAAATATATAATATTCATTGAAATTAAAAATAAATAAATGTAACTGAAAAACCTAAATTTTATTATATTAAAATTTTGGGTTAAATATGTTTTTCATCCCTTAAGTATCACTGATTTTTGGTTTTAGTCCGTATTCAAAACTTTGATGGTTTTTAGTCCTCATAGTATTGAAACATGTAATATTAATCCTTAAAAATGGACGGCGTCAACTTTTTATTGATCTAGCAAACGGCGAGGCCATGTCTTCTTCTTAAGTATCTGTCACGTTGCTTCTTCATCATCTCAGTTGGGGGCAAAGCTGGGTTCTTCTTCTGGTTAGCAGGGTGCAACCTTGTAGGCCTCATTCCTCCTTCTCTAGGAAACTTGACGAAGCTCACAAACCTCGACTTGTCCATGAACGAACCTCGACATTACTTTGCTTGATGAGTCTCCGACATTGTCTGCGGAGTTTCTCATACTGCTTTTTGTGTATAAAGATATGGAATAAAATTAAAATGATGTTAACACCCCTCCCAAGAAGGAAAAAATCCAAACAATATACATTTTAAGTCTAACAGTACATGATGGATTGAGCACAAGCAATAAAATGAATCAAACATTTGGAGATAGAACTTGCATTCCCACCTATTTTGAGTTCTTATAACATCTCTTTCACCCTTGGTGCTGCCTAAGTCATACCTGCATGTTTAAAGTATAATCAGTAGTTGTATAAATTTTATCTGAATAAATTTCAAATATATACATGATGAAAAAGTATAATCAAGGAACTTATTTCCACCATCACAGAATTTACCATCTTCTGTAAACAAGGATTTTCATTGATGAGATGACATAGCGTGTTTTCTTCTCCTTTGTGACCATGGTGATTTAAGTCGTTCCCTAAAACACGGGGTAATTAATTACTACTTGCAGGTTAGAGAATAAAGGATAAGGAGCCAATTAATCATGAAAGTAACTAAAGTTGTATAAAAATGCACTTACAATTGTATCCCAAAAAATAAAAAGCACAAAGAGACATTCTTCCACAAGTAAACAACAGTACACTAGCATGAAAGACAACTTCTACAAGTAGTTGTGTCGGTGCAGGGGAGCTTGCGAGATGAAGGCGAGGCGAAGAGGCTTAGGCGATTTAGGGTTCGTCGCAACACTCGCGATTTGGGATTTTGCTTGGCCGTGGTTCTCGATTGGTCGGAGCGAACTCATTGTTCCGACACGGTGCGATTTAGGATTGAGGTTGCTCGCGTTTTCTATATTTGTCTGAGTTTCAGGTGATTCTGGGAATGCCATGGATGACTCGCAAGGAAGAAAAATGGGCTCGGCTGTTTGATTCTTTGCAGGTGAAGAATGGAGATGCTTGCTTGATCTGCGACTTGGGCTGTTGCGCGATTGGGGTGATGGTGCACGAGAAGCGAAACCGTGATTGTTCTGCCGAAGAAGATGAACGAAGTTCAAGCACAAGCAACGTGACAGAGGGTGAAGAGGCAAGTTGACATAAGACGTGGCCTTGCCGTTTGCCAGATCAATAAAAAGTTGATGTCATCCATTTTTAAGGACTAATATTACATGTTTCAATACTATGAAGACTAAAAGCCATTAAAGTTTTGAGTAGGGACTAAAACCAAAAATCAGTGATACTTAAGAGACGAAAAACATATTTAACATTTTTTTATAACTACAGGTTATAGTTAATTTTTTTAATATATAAATTATATTCAATTAAATTTTATAAAATAATAAATTTATGATAAATAGTGTATAATATATTCAAATTTTATTTTAAGTTTTGATATTTTAAAAGATTATAAAATAATAAATCTATTTTACTACATTATAATTTTTTAAATTTTTATAAAATAATTTAAATAATTATTTATAATTTGGTCTTTTTATACAAATTTTAAAATTTAAATATAACAATGATAAATAACATTTTTTATAACTTTAATAACTAGGGACATTTTGGTAATCTTTAATTTCTACTAATTATATAAATTTTTTTAATTAGTCACATCAATCAAATTCTATACTGATTCTCACACATTTTACTTTCAAATTCATTCTCAATTACCCACAAAATCCACTAAAAAAACAACAAACAACAAATAAATTAATGAGAATCCATTCAAATCAATGCAAGCGCAACAAAGCATAAATGACCAAGTTTAGTTAAGATAAAAGAATAACTGACACAACGTTGAAAATAGGACAAAATCTTAGATATATTGTACTGCTTTATTATATTGCTTTGTGTTATTCTTCTATCAGAACTGAAGCTTCATTTGGGGTAATATGCATAATTCTTCAATCCAAATCTTTCATTATGCAGATCAATGAACTGAAACTCCAGTTCTAATTAGATGATAACAAATACAACCATAACATTGTCCTCAGAACTAAGGAATTATAAGCAGGGTTTGTCCTCAGAAGTATCATTAATAAACACAAGTTTGCAACCATAACATTGTCATAACTCATACACTCACCTGGATAAGAAATTGGATGATGTTATTTCATGTCATCATAACGAACCGGAGAAGCTATTGCTCAATCAACCAAACATAGAACGACCCACTAGTTTGGTTTTCAACGAGTAAACCAAAGCAAGTTAATTACTTCACCTGAAAAATTCAGCTCATCCATCATCGATATGAAAAAAATGGTACTAACCTAAACCAACCTACACTGCTGAATATAACATATTCTGCAGCTTTTTAATTACAATAAAAATGTTAAGAGGAAGTAACCGTGACATGAATGCATACTTAGGGCATCCCAGTTACAGACCTTAATGTACAAAATTTAAGGTCTTCAGGTTTGCCTTTGCAAAACTCAATTTGCAGACATAAAGAACCAACAACGTTTACCTTTTTTCATTTTTTAACATTTTCATTTTTAATTCTTTTTAAGAAAAATAACTTTTAAAAGTGAAAAACAAAATAAAAATATGGAAAATATTTCAACAAAATAAGTCTGAAAGGGGCAAACTACAAGAACTAAGAGTGTCAGAAATCAGTAACAATCAAAGGAAAAATGTAGTTAGTTCTGTAAACTGTTGAAGCATTCTTTTGCTTGATCTAGCAGTGCATGGTACAATAATTTGGTGAAGAGGGAAATAACAATGTAAATCAGCCATGGTAAAATGCATGCTTATTACCCTAAAATGACTCTAAAATAAGAGAGAAAGCAACAGAAATTACTTTAATACCTAAAATTTGGAAGCTTTTATGAAAACTCATGAGGAAAAACCGGTGATGAGGTAGAATAAAAATGAGTAAAGGTGAAGGCACACGAGAGAAGATCTAGAAGTTAGAATTGCAGCCATGGTTGAAACTTGGAGCGTTTCTCGTCGACCCAAAACGCAACACGAAGAGCCACCAATAATGGAAAAGAAAGTTTGGAACAATGTGAAGAAGAAGAAAAAGAAATCACAGTCACAGTGACAACCAATGAAGAGGAAAGCGCAGTGAAGAACGAAGAACAGGAGCGAAGCTAACGAAATATGCCCATAACATTATTGGGCCGATTCAATCAACCATGGAGGCCCGTTAAAACCAGCGGTTTATTTATAGTTAGTTTTAACTTAAGATTCTGTTGTTAGTTAGGTTAAACAATTTTTTCGTACAACATTGATAATAGTTTGTATAATGATACATAGTAACGACTTTTTTAATTGTTTTAAGTAAATACTATATTTTTTAATGTTGTGTATTACTGATTCTGATCATCAACAGTAATAATAACACAGCATTGTTATTTGTTATGAGAATATATATTTCAACTATATATTTGTGTAACTTTCACACAACAAAATAATAAATAAGAAGAAAAGAGAGAAAATTAATGTAATTAACAAAAAAGAAATTAAAAAAAAATGCTGTTAAAATGTTCTGGGATCATATAGAGTAAAATGTTAGAAGAAATATCATTAGCAACTTCATATATTAAATTATAACGTGTTTAATATTATAATAACTATTAGTGGCTTTGAATAGTTTATGAGGTTAAAAATTATCATCGTACACCAAAATAGTTTTATAATATTTTGTATAAATTAATTCGTTAAAAATAAGATAATATAAATGGAAAATAGTAAACATAAAGGGTTATATATATGC